GGTGGGTCTTTGGGTTTTGTTTTGTTTATTTAATTTAATGATTTGTAAAGTGATGCTCCACTTCCTTTTTTTTTTTACAGTTTTCAGCTCATATTTAACCTCTGTTTGGAAAATGATTCTTGTAACTGTACATTTTTTTGCCTCCTGGTAACAACAAAAATAAATGACCAATTTTGTGCTGGGGGTGGGTATGGTGCTAGTTATTTTCCCGTGGGTGGTGTGGCATGGCTGGCCCACCCCCCCACTGCTGCCAGGCACCTTGGACAAAGATGGAGCCCAAAGAGGCGCAGCCACCAAGGGCTCCTCAGCCACCCCAGCACGTGGGTGCACACCCATGCTCCCTCCCCTCTGACCTTGTGGTCTCAGCTGTGAGCTTGGCATGGAGATTAGAGTCTGTTTGGAGACCTTCTAGGACTTGGGGGTCACTGGTAGGAGGCCGGGGCCTGAGCCTCTCCCCCACCTCTCTCCAGGCCTAGGACCTCACCTGCCCCACCCCACTCCCAGGGGGCACCCCAGAGCCACCAGCTAGCTGCCACCCACCAGCACTGCTGGGCCTGGAGAGCTGCGTGGCTTCCCCTCCACGGCCTTCTCTACCAGTGACCATGCTGCTGGTTTCCTAGGAGGGACCCCCGCCTCCTGCCCAATAGTAGTCCCCCCTAACACACACACACACATACACACACACACACACACACACACACACACACGCCCCGCCTCTCCCCTGCTCCACCTCCCTCAGCCTCCTTTGCACCCTGCAAAGGGGAGCAGGCCCCTGCAGAACACCCCACCCCTCCCTAGAACCTGCTGCTGCCCAGAGTGCAGCCTCAGTCTACCTTCCTTCTGGAAGCCGTAGTGCCACAGAGGCGCGCTCGGCACCCCATGCCCCTCAGCTTCCCTCTAACCAGCATTAACCCTCCGAGCTGTGGGAGGAAGGGCCCTGCCACCGGAAGAGCTGTAGGGAAAAGTGTGGTGACATCGCTGAGTGATTTTAGGGTGCCTTCCAACTCCTACCTAGAGGACTGCTGGTGACTAGTGGTGATGTGTTGGTCTGCTAACCATGAGGTCAGCAGTTCGAAACCACCAGCCACTCTGCAGGAGAGAGACTTTCTACTCTCATAGAGAATTACAGTCTTGGAAACTCACGGGGCAATTCTGCGCTATCCCACAGTCACTTGGTGTCGATTGACTCACCGATGGCAGGGAGTTTGGTTTGGTTTCTGGAATAGGACCTCGCTCCTGGTTAAGGAAGTTGAAGCTGGGGACTCAGCTCTGCCCTTCCTGCCTGCAGGGCTTGCCATGGTGATGCTGCATGTAAGCATTGGCTGCTACCCACAAGGTCAGTGGTTCAAACCCACCAGCCGCTTAGAGGGAGAAAGGTGAGGCTTTCTAATGTAAAGATTTACAGCCCAGGGAGGAGACGAGTCAGTCAGGGTGCTGCAACATAGCAACGATGACAACTT